GGAAGCTGAAATCCCCGCGGCTTTCGAGGGCAGGCTGCGAGACTTTAAGGGCGGGAATCGTGGTCACGTCCCTTCCGACGAGGAGCCGGGCATTGGACTATAATTGTGGTGATGCTTCGAGCTAGAGCACGTGGACTCGGTGAGCTGGTGGCTGTCTGTCACGTGTTGCTCCATCGCAGTTCTGAAGAGGATTCGACTTTGGCTGTCCCACAGACTCGTGCCGTCTACGCGCCGGCCATTTCCACTTCTTTCAGTTGGCAAAACAATTTTCTCTTTTCCGATACGAGTAGTTTCGAGAATATCACTTATTATTGAGCAAGAACGTGATCAGTCAGGGTCACTTTTGGTGGTTTAAGGAATGATCACTGATTTTTCATGCAAACCACATCGCATGCGATGCACTACTTATTTGCGATATGGGCATTTTTTGAGGTTATCTGTAATTAGTGAATAGGCACCTTGTCCGTTGAGTGTGGCTTAAGGTGATTTAGTTTCTGACGTTTAACTTTGCCACACCATCTCTTGCGTAGGCCCCAATATGTCATCCAAGTTAACTTTACCTTTCCTCCAAAAGTCTTCCAGGTTGAAGTGGAATGTAGTTTCCACCTCACATTAACTTGTCTCATGCGCATCTTCAGTAAATAGCGTGAGGGATTTTCCCACTCTGCAGCCATCACAGGAGCTTTCTTCTCCAGAATGTTTGCCTATTCCTGCTGCCCATCCTTTACCACTCAATACTATTATGCCCACGATGAAGGAGAGTCAAATGAAGACGTCCTGTGCCAATAAAAGGTCGTCGCATCACTCCACCCATGAGAGGACTCGAACAGTGGACGCTTTCGTCAAGATGCAAGGCCCAAGGAGTGTTTGGGCACCACAAGCTCACTTTCAGCATGACTCACAAAACATGCGCTTCAACAACTTTACGGTTCGAAGCTTGCCGGGACGGAGCTGAGACGATGTAGCGAGGCGGTGACTGCAGTTCAGGCTATAATCGTGAAGAGCCCTTTGGAAATGTATACAAATAAAAACAGACATACAAACCAACAATAATCATTAAGTTAGCCTATGCCCCCTATAATTATGTAATGACGGATAGTTGAAATTTCCCACAATTTCCTCAAGGGAAATTGTAATTGCATGATTGCCTAATCAAATCCATCCCACGAATTGTGAGTTGGGAGAAGCCTGACTTGCCTAGGACATCACATTTGCAAGGGTGACAAACTTGCATACGTGGCACGCTGGTTCGAGTTCCGTTGG